TCAAATCACATCAAGACTCCTTGATACGAGTTTAAATTATCTACAAATTATGTCAAATGAAGAACTCCTTGATATGAGTATAAATTATCTACAAATCAAGTCAAATGAAGAACTCCCTGATATGAGTTTAAACTATCTACAAATTCAAGTCGAAAACTCCTAGATAAGAGTTTAAACTATCTACATGTCCAAACTTGAGACTCATTCACTACCAAGTCATTTTGTCCGTGAACAAGTCTCAAGGGGGCATTTGTAGACATCGAAATTTTAATATTTTATTAATTAATGTCTTTATTTATTTTGGGACATAAATTCATGATAAATAAGATATTTAATTAATAAAGTTATTATTTCTTGCCCTCCAAGTCAATCTTAGGATAAGGAAAGAGATTATATCAAATCAAGAAGGACCAATCAAATTGATGTCTTCTTTTAAAAGACTCTCTCTCATACACCTATAAATAGGGCTCTCTCCTACACACCTCAAACACCTCAAAAATATCAAACACATCTCAAATATTAAAGTCTCAAATTCAAGAGCTCTCAAAAACCCTCTTGAAGATTTGAAGAAGTTCTTCAAGAACCGCCCGAAGTCCATTCAATGAAGAAGAAGGCCAAGAAGAAGAAAAAGAGGCGGCGGGTCTTCCTCAAGAAGTAAAGAGACGGCTTTCACGCTTCTCAAGTCAATGCAAGAATATCAACGACGTTCAAGCGACATTCAAGCCGCGTTCGTTGAGAAGTTCAACCAACATAGCGTTTGATCCGGGAAAAAGCTATAAAGCCCCCGAATCAACGTTATTCAAGTCAGAGTCCCTCTTTCAAGAAGATCAAAGAATCAAGTTTTCCAAGAAGTCATATTCAATCAATTTAAGGCCTAACATTTAATACGGGAATAAGTCATTCGACCCTCAAATTAATGTTAGAGAAATTCAAGACCAAGCCCGGAGGATATTCATTCGTCAAATCCATCTTTGAAGGTCTCAATCCCAAATTCATCCCAAATTCATGAAGAGAAGAATCAGGGGAGAGAAATAGAGATTGTACCCACAATATCATTTGATCGAAATATATTCAAGTTGTACAAAAGTTTTATGTTTTTCATAAAATTTCTTGTTACAGTAGGTCTTTTCATGTTTTCTTGCACTAGAAAATTGGTTGATGAACGAAGAGTTAAACACGTTAAACCTATAGATCGACCTAGTAGGTAGTTGGTGGAACAATCCTGAGCGTATCCTTTCAACGATACCACCAAAGCTCCTTAACAAACCGCATCAATGGATCGGTGCAAGACTGATACGTTCTCAAAGCTCCTCAAGTGCTTAGTCGGATCCGTAGACCCGTCATAAACTATACTTGGCTCCCGAAAATTCAGAGGTTGACCTGCGTCCAAAACATCATTGGAGAAAGGATGATATT